AGATGTCAGGGTAATCACCTGAACATTGAAGAATGAGGGGCAACCTCACAGAAGTTTACAAAATTATGAGATGCATGGATAGAGTGGATAGTCAGAGTCTTTTACCCCAGGGTAGAAATATCAATTACTAGGGGGACATAGGTTTAATGTGAAAGGGGCTAAATTTAAATGGAAATGTGAGAGGCAGTTTTTTTTTTTTAAAAAAAGGGGTGGCAAAGCCTGGAACGTGCTGCCAGAGGACATAGTGGAGACTGATACAAAAGTAATTTAGTTTAATAGACATCTTGACAGATATAGGAATTGGCAGGGGATAGAGGGATACAGTGTTGAGGCAAAAGATTTTCAGCTTAGAAAGGCATGTGTCGGTGTAGTCTTGGTGAGCCAAAGGGCCTGTTCCTTTGCTGTGCTGTTCTTTGTTCTAACTGGTCTAGAGTTACCCAATTTTTACCGCCCGCTCTTTTTGACAGTTTTCTAATCCTCTGGTACTTCTCCAGAATGGAAGGATTTTTGAAAAATTACACCCAATGCAACCACACTCTCTCTGTAGCTACGTCTTTCAGGATCCTTGGATGCAAGCCATGAGGGTCAAAGGATATATCTGCCTTTAGCCCCATTAGTTTGTCTAATGCTACTTCTTGGTACATAATTCTTCCCCATAATCTTTAGCATTAATGAATGCTTCATTACCTTCCACTGCAATGACTGATGCAGAATAACTGTTTAACTTCTCTGCCATTTCCTTGTTCCCCGGAAGTGTCCCCAGATTTATTTTTTTTAGCAGCCTATATCACTTTGACCTCTCTCTTCCTTTTGATATATTTAAAGGAGCTCTGACTGTCACTTTTTATACTACTCACTAGTTTGCCCTCATAGCTTTTTAATTTGTCTTGATTACCTTTTTAATCCTCCTTTGCTGGATTCTGAATTTATCCCCGTCTTTGCAACTGACTTTTGCCTCTTTACATGCTTTTCTTTCCATTTCAACCTTACACTCTCTTTAACTTCCTTGGTTAACCATGGGTTAAATTATCCCTCTCTTAGAATCCTCCCTCTTTACTGGAATATATTTTTGCTTAGAGTCATGGATTACTTCCTTAAAAGTTTGCCACTGCTTACTTACTTACTGACTTTCCTCCTCATCTATCTGCCCAGTCCACTTTAGCTAACTCTATCATCATTTCATTGTAATTCCCTTCATTTAAGGTAAACATTTGTTCCTAACCCAAGTTTTTCACACACAAACTGAATATTAAAGTCTGAAGTGATATGATCACTACTTCCTAGGGGATCTTTTACTCTCTATCTACATAAGCACCAAGCCAGTTGTGGCTCTCTGCAAGTCAAATCTGATCCGCAGCTGGTGAGGACCTTAGTGGAAAAAGCTGGGGAAAAAATTCTGTTTAAAATTAATACAGTCTAACCTTTGTCCTGATTTCCATAGTCAGAGCAAAATTCAGCAATTACTTAAAGTGGCTCATATAGAGCCTACTGGCAAGAAATTATACTGCTGACTCCCCAGAGTGCCACAGGAGTCACTTAGATGGAAACCCCTCAGGTAGACTACTTCGGAACAGTTGAGAAACTAACTTACTACAGTGTTGCCAAAGTAACTTCAATATTGGTGTGAAGCAAACTAGTTTCCCATCAATGTTAGTGTTTATTTTTTTACTCACTCACAGGACACAAACATTGCTGGCTGGCCAGCATTTATTGCCTGTTCCTAGTTGCCCTTGAGGTGGTGATAGGGAGCTGACTTCTTGAACTGCTGCAATTCACCTGCTGGAGAGCTGACCCACAGTGCCCTTAGGGAGGGAATTCCAGGATTTTGACCCAGTGACAGTTAAGGAATGGACATACATCTCCACGTCAGGATTGTGTGTGGCTTGGACACGAACTTGCATGGATGGTGGTGTTCCCATGTGTCTGCTGTCTTTGTCCTTCTAGATGGAAGTGGGTCATGGGTTTGGAAGGTGCTGTCTAAGGATCTTTGGTAAATTTCTGCAGTGCATCTTGTAGATTGCTCAGTAGTAGCATCGATGGTGAACAGACCGGATGCTTGTGGATGTCACAGAGTCAAAAGTCATACAGCACAGTCCAACTAGTCCATGCTAACCATGTTCCCAAACTAAACTAGTCCCACTTGCATGCATTTGGCCCATATCCCTCCAAACCTTTCCTATTCATGTACTTATCCAAATGTCCTTCAAATGTTGTAACTTTACCTGCATCCACCAGTTCCTCTAGCAGTTCATTCCATACACAAACCCCCCAGTAAAATAGTTGCTTCTCATGTCCTTTGTAAAATTTTCTCCCCTCACCTTAAAAAATGCCTCTTAGTTTTGAACTCACCCACCCTAGGGAAAAGACCCTTGCTATTCACCTTATTTATGCCCCTCATCATTTTATAAACCTCCTACACTTCGGCGAAAAAGATCCCAACCTATTTTTGCAACTGAAGCCCCCCCACTTCTGGCAACATCTTGGTAAATCTTTTCTGAATCCTCTCCAATTTAATAATATCCTTCTATAGCAGGGCAACCAGAACTACACAATACTCCAGAGGGGGCCTCACCAACGTCCTGTACAATCTCAATATACTGTCTCAATTCACAAACTCAAAAGGTCTGACCAATGAGGGCAAGCATGCTAATCATCTTTAACCACCCTTTCTACCTGTGATACATCATGCAAATCAAATGGGCTGCTTGTCCTAGATGGTGTAAAGCTTCAAGCGTTGTTGGAGCTGTACCCATCCAGGAAAGTGGGGAGTATTCTATCATGTTCCTGACTTGTATCTTGTGCAATCATCAGCGAACATTCTCACTTCTGATCTTACGATGGAGGGAACATCACCGATGAAGCAGATGAAGATGGTTGGGTCCAGGACACGACCATGAGGAACTCCTGCAAAGATGTTGTGGAGCTGAGATGACTGACCTCCAATAACTACAACCCATCTTCCTTCGTACCAAGTATAATTCCGAGCAGCAGAGAGTTTGCCCCATGATACCCATCAATTCCAGTTTTGCTAGGGCTCCTGCATACCACACTCAGTTAAATGCAGCCTTGATGTCAAGGGATGTCACTCTCATGCTTGGAATTCAGCTCTTTCATCCACGATTGAACCAAGGCCGTGATGAGGTCAGGAGCTGAGTGTCCTTGTGGAACCAAAACTGGATATCACTGCGCAGTCTATTGCTAAGCAGGTGCTGCTGGATGACACTGTTGATGACACCTTCCATCACTTTACTGATGACAGACAGTAGACTGATGGGGGGGTAATTGGTCGGGAGAGCTAAAATCTCAGACTGAAATCTAAACCTGTGCTTATAAAGGAGATAACAAGGTGTAGAGCTGGATGAACACAGCAGGCCAAGCAGCATCAGAGGAGCAGGAAAGCTGACGTTTTGGGCCCGAAACGTCAGCTTTCCTGCTCGGCCTGCTGTGTTCATCCAGCTCTGCACCTTGTTATCTCATTCTCCAGCATCTGCAGTTCCTACTATCTCTGTGCTTATAAAACACAACTTTGCTAAATTTCAGTCTGTCACCAACACGGATAGTAACATATTTGTCATTAATAGAATCAAGATTAAAAGAAGAACAAATGCCACTTCACATTCCTACTATTTTTTTTTTAAGTAGGTAAAGAGAAAAACAAATGCTATAAGCAGGATACTAAAATAGATTAGCTTCTCTTCCTCACTCCTGAGTAAATTTAACTAGCAATTTCAGAAAGTTTGTCAGGGAACCAGCTGTAATGTGCAAAACTAATATCTGACAATAAAGCATGCTACAAATATCAGAACGCGTATGCTTAATAAACAGATGAAAAATATTTATCTTAAACTTCGATAAACAATGATAAGAAATTTGAGCTTTAATGGTATAAATTACATCAAATATATTGATCACTAACCACATGTTGTGAACCAGAAATCCAAATGAGGCATGTGGCCTCAATATTATATTCATGTGGTATGTACGTAAGTATTTTAACTTTGTGTGTTTGCTTGTAAAAGTGTTACATTGAAAAACAGCGAGTGTGTTTTAGCATTTTAGTTATAAATGATAACGTTTATTATGTACGCAGACAAATGAAATAATGCTGTGAGTAAATGCAAAACATCCTCTACTAAAGCTGGAGCATTCAGTGCAACATTATGCAGCCATCCTTGAAGATAATCATGATTTTGGATAACAGTGATTGAGTGATGCCGTAGAAACATAGAAACTTGGAGCAGTAGGCCATTTGGCCCTTTGAGCCTCCTCTGCCATTCTATATAATCACAGCTGATACCCTTTGATCTCTTTAGTCCTAAAACCTATATTCCTTCTTGAAAACATTTAATGTTTTGGCCTCAACCACTTTTATGTGCCAGAGAATTCCACAGGCTTATCTTTCTCTGGGTGAAGAAATTTTTCTTCATCTCAGTCCTAAATGGCCTACCACATATGCTTAGCTTGTGACCACTGACTCTGGACTCTTCGGTCATCAGGAATATCCTTCCTGAATTTTATTAGGCTCATTTTGTTAGAATGTTATAGGTTTCTATGAGATTCCCCTCATTCTTCTAAACTCCAGTGGATAAAGTCCTAACTGATCAAGTCTCTTTTCATACGTCAATCCTGCCATTCCAGGGATCAGCCTGCTATTAAAAAGGTCATGCACTGATTGCACAAATAAAGAAGTTTGGTAAGAAAGCAGATCAAACATAATGATTAGGCCATGTCTGTCTGGCTTGTAATAAATCCAATATGAAACTATGCTTCAGGCACAGAATATACACCTCAGAATTAAAAGACAATATACTGGTGTGATCACCACAGAATTGTTTTTAACAGGTATATATCTTGTTAGAATAAGAAGTCTACATCCTTGATTTAATCTTATTCAGATTCTTCAAACAATGCACATCACAATTTTCTAAAGGCAAATTTAGAACTCATAATACCTCCTGTCCCTTCAAACCCTAAAATTAGTAAATATTTTAATTTCTTACCCGAAGTAAAACACCAACAAGCTGACAACAGCCAATGCCCCCTCAATTTTTGTAGAGCTTGTAATAACTCGGGATAGCTACACATGAAAAAGAAAAGTTTCATGAACAATAGTTCAGATAATAGAAACAAAATTTCAAATTTACACAACTGACCACAATTACGTACCTGTTTAACAAAGATTAAAATTGCTATTGGTAACAATTACCTTTAAACTTAGCCATTAAACCAGTTTTATCATGGGAAAGCTTTAAGATCATTCTTTGAGTTCCAACAAAACAAACATTTATTTTGTGAAAAGATATACTTTGTTGTATAAGTTGACTGAAAACTCTAGGAGCAGCAAACACGATTAATTTGTTGATAATGATGTACTTTGTTTAAAGATCTTTTTCTTTGATAAGGGAACAGTGATGAATAAAATAACGAATGAAAAACAAAACTTCTAAAATACTGCATTTCAGCTAATACACAATCCCTTGATCTGTGCTACTTTTGTAAGTTTGATACAAGATAGTTTTTACTGGTTCAAAACCAAACAAACAATCTTGTAAACAGCTACTGTTTCCATACAAATTGGAAAGCGTATTTACCTGCACAATATGTAAACAAATAACAGCAAGAACCAGGAAGTAAAGAGAACTTTTGTTGCTCTAAACTAGATTACTGGGATCTCCCGTGTAGTTGAAATGTTCACGGTTAGCTTCAGGTTCAATGAAGAGTGCAGGAGGGAATGTCAAGAGCAGCAACAGACATTGCAACATCGAACTGCTTGCATGCCAAACAAAATAAGCAGGAAGTAACAACAAAGCTAAGCGATTGCACAATTGACATTAGATCCAAGCTCTGCAGTCCTCTGCAGCTGTGAACGGAGGACAATTAAACAAATGACTGGAGAAAGAGACTCCACAAATATCCCCACCTTCAAATGATGCAGCAACCCAGCACTTGCAAAAACCTTTGGCCAAAAGTGCCATTTGGATGATCTATCCCAGCTTCCTCTGGAGGTCCACAACATTACAGATGTCAGGCCTCTGCAATTCAATTCATTCAACTGATACCAAGAAACAGTTGAAGCCTATGGGTACTGCAAAGGTCCCAACAACATTCTGGCAACAGTCCTGAAGACAAGTGTTTCAGAACTTGCTGCGTTCCCTTGCCCAAGCTGCCCAGAACAACTAGAACACTGGCACCAACCTAACAATGTGCAATACTATTCAGGTATGCCCTATGCACAAAAAACAGGACAAATCCAAGCCAGTCAATTACTGCCCCATCAATCTACTCTCCAACATCACTAAAGTGACAGAAGGTGCTATCAACTGTGTTTTCAAGCGGCACTTGCATGGCAATAATCTGTTCACTGATACTCCATCTAGGTTCTGCCAGGGCCACTCAGCTCCTGACTTCATTACAACTTGGACAAAAAGTTTAAATGAGTGTCTGCCCTTGATATCAAAGGCGTATTTGACAGAAAGCAGCATCATTGATCGTCAAGGATATCAAAGGTTATCGGGAGAAAGCAGGAGAATGGGGTTGAAAAACTTAACAGCCATGATTGAATGGTGGAGCAGACTCAATGGACCGGATGGCCTAGTCTCTGTTCCTATGTTTCATGGTCTTATGAGGGAGCTCTTGCAAAAATGGAGTCAATGGGAAAGCCAAAGGGATCATGTCCACCGGCTCTCCCTTGCCTAACTTATTCGTTATCTCCTCGAAGAATTCAAACAGATTTGTCAGGCATGACTTCCTCTTGATGAAGCCCTGCTCACTCAGCCCTCTTTTACTATGCAAGTCCAAGTACTCCATAATGTCATCATTAAAAATAGACTCTAAAATTTTACCAACAATTGAGGTCAGGCTAACTGGCCTATATAGTTTCTTGTTTGCTGCCTCCTTCCCTTCTTAAGCAAGGGTGTTACATTAGCCATTTTCCAGGCCTCTGGGCCCTTCCCTGATTCCAAGTGATTCCTGAAATTTCACCACCAATGCCCCTTATAATCTCCTCAGCTATCTCCTTCAGATCTGGGCAATTTATCTACCTTCATACCTTTCAGCTTCCACAGCATCTTCTCCTTAGTAATGGCCATTACACTTACATCTGGTCTGCCTGCTGACTCTCAAACTTCTGGTATGCTAATGGTGTCTTCCACTATGAAGACTGATGCAAAGTACCTATTCAATTTATTTATTCCTGGCTACTGCTAGGAAGCCTGCTCATAACACCTAACAGGAGCTTTTTCTCTCTTCATTTTCTCAACTCTACCCTCACAGATTCTGCACCTTTCAACTCTACATCACTTCTTGCTCGTGATTTAATTTTGTTTCATGCTAATAAGGCAACTGCCCCTCCATCCATTTGCCGGTCCTTTTGCCAGAAACTACATCCTTGGATATTTGGTTCCCAGCCTTGATACCCTTGCAACCATTACTCTGTGAAACCTACAACATTATACTTGCCAATTTCAGACTTTGCTACAACCTCATTTAGCTTGTTTCATATACTGTGTGCATTTAAGTACAACAGCCCTATGTTGACAGCTCCTTTTCTCATTGTTATCCCCTTACCTGCTGTGCCTGAAGTTAGATTCCGGAGCCTTTCCATACGCTCTGACGTATTAACTTATTCTGGAAAATTTAACAACATCTGTTGGGCCACCACACCCCCACTGCTTTAACCTTTTCCATAATTTTCCATGCAACTCAACCCACCTCTCCCCCAACATTTTAGAAGTTTAAAATGCTATCCACAGCCCTAATTATGTAAATCTGTGAGTATAGAGACCTTCGACCTCTGCACTGATTGCACACAAGCTGGCCAACTACCCACAGAGTTCTTGTCATGCCGATGACATCTAACCTACGAATCGGTTCTAACTGAAAACCAAAACAACATCGTCACCAGGCGCAAGTCAACTTAACACCATCGTGCTATTGGTCTCAAACATTTGCCACTGTTAAGTAAAGCAACAGCATAAACAAAACAATGCTTTCCAGTAACTTGTTACTAAAATTGCAGCAATTCCTTCTAGTCTTGGATTTAAAGCATCTCTTCCCATTGTGGTTCACAACCTAAAATAAAGACCGTGGTCTTTACCTAATGAGTCCCTTGTTTTTATCCCATTTGAACTAGTTGACAGGCACCAAGCGTATCAGAGACCAACATAAACTCAGACTTGAGGCCTATCCTTCTGTTACATTCACGTACTTGAGAAACAATCTAAAGTGAACTCCCATAAAGCTTAACTACAGATCAGGGTCAGTGAAAATGACTAAGATTACTATCACCATAATGCCACATGATACATTAATGAAACTGGAAGCCACAGGAATGCATTGATATACATTTGATATCTAGATGCATTCGTAATTCCAAATCTTGCTTAAGGTTTTTAATAGTCCATTATCATCTGCTGATTTAAAACATCTAAAGCCTATCACATAGAAAAAAAATATATATAAAAGTCATCAAGACAAAAGAAAAGACGATACAGGAGGACAGGTGACCAAAAACTTGGGTAAAAAAGGTTGCAATTGAGTAATACTGTAGATGAGGGGAGAGGTAGAGACATGGAAAGGCAGGGTGTTTTGGCAGAGGTCCTTCAAGCCTTTGAATCATCTATCCAGCTTAAAAAAATACCAATGGTGGGCAAAGGAATTAGGGAATGCGCCAGAGTTAAAAGAACAGAAAAATTATGAGAAGGTTCTAGGGCTCAATGCAGGGATGATGTCATGGAATTTTTTTTAAGATGAGAAATTTAACAGGGAGGCTTTTCTGAACTAGAAGTCTAGTATTTGGTGCAAATTAGAATGCAGGCAGCAGAAAGCTGAATGACCTCGAATTTATGGAAACACTTTAAGGATAGTACTCAAATAGTCAAGGCTAGAGAAAACAAGTGTTGATTATGACTTTAGCACTAGGAGGGGTGATGTTGGGCAATGGAAGCTGATATTTAAAATAGATGGTCTTTGTGGTAAAGAGAATATGTATATATAATTGGAAGTTCAGCTTAGGGTCAAAATAGGATTCATGTCAGCAGTCCAGTCCAGCTCGAGACAGTGGCCAAAGAGGGTTGGGAATTGGTGGCTTGAAAAACACGTTTGTGGTCAGAGGTAAAGACAATGACTAATTCTCAAAACATTTAACTGGAGGAAGTTTCTGCTGTTCTTGCATTAGGTGTCAGAATCCTTGTTTGGCAACACCAGAAATGGATGCCCGACAAAAACGAGGTGTGACTGGGAAATCACCGCACACATACAAAACCTGGCATTGTGTCTTCAGATAATGTCATGGAAGGTCAGCATGTAGCTGAGGAATAGGAAGGTGCCAAGGATAGATCCTTGAGGATTCCAGAGATAGTGGTGTGGGGTAGAAATAAAATCCAATTGGAACCAGCCAATGGCAATATCACTCAACTGGATAAATGGAGAAGCAGCTTTTGGAGAGCATGATGTCGTCAATTTTGTCAAAGGCTAGAGTCAGGTTATGAACAAAGAGGATAGGTTAATATATCTGAAGTCTCTCAATGTAATTTGTGACTTGGATGAGGGTTGTTTAAGTGCTATTGCAGGGAAGAAAGTAGATTGGCAACTTTCAAAGTAACACTTTAGAGAAGACGGGAACAAATGTGGAAGGCACACGTTCAAGGATTCTGGAAAAAAAAAAGAGGAAAATAGGAGCTAGGGTTTGGGATCAATATAGCAAAGAAAAGTGACAAGAGTGGGCCTGTTTAAAAAGGTAGGTATAATAGCAGCGATTTTGAAAGACAGCAGGTCATGATGTTAAAAAAGTAATTCATTTACAAAGCAGCTAACCGGGAGGGATACAATAAAGCCTTGAGCCAAAGGATAGTTTCAGTCAAAACCATTTCATTCATGTTGAAGACAGAATTTTGGTAATACGTTTGAACTGAATAAATATTAGTACCGTGCTTGAAGCAGGCATTTCCACAGATTTTAAAACAATTAACAATGCAATGCAATTCTTCCAAAGTAGCCCATGAAGCCAACATACTTTGATAAGGGTAGAAGATGAAGGTGTGGTTAAGGAGATGGTAGGTAATGGAAAAGAGATGGGAGTTATCCTGGCAATTCAGGATGACAGCTGATGGTTTTACCAAACCAGGTAATTAAATCAGGAAGATGAGGATCTTTCCAAGCTAAGCAGTGCAGGAATACCTGCTCCAATTTTGATTCCTATCTGGAATTAAGAATCTAGTGATGAACATGAACCCATTGTCGATTGTCAGGAAAAACCCATCTGGTTCACTAATGTCCTTTAGGGAGGGAAACTGCCATCCTTACCTGGTCTGGCCTACATGTGATTCCTGACCCACAGCAATGTGGTTGACTCTTAATTGCCCTCTGGGTAATTAGGGATGGGCAATAAATGCTGGCCTAGCCAGCAATGCCCTCATCCTGTGAACCAATAAAGTTTAAAAAAAAAGGACCAGCAAGGTTTCTAGCAGATGTCAAATTAGGACTGTAAACAGTCCAGCAGAACCATACGAAACAGAAGCAAAATTGTCTCTTCCATGTTCAAACTAGAGTATAGAAGACATGTATTATCATGCAGATATCCTAGGCATGGAACAGGAGGGCTTCCATCAGTCCTGTACAAGATCAAGAATAAATCTGTGTGGTGGATATTTCACATTAGATGGAAGCAACTGCAAGAAAAAAGTACAGGTGTGCAGTGCCCTACAACTCAGTGCCCTAGAGGATGAAACAGACTCCTAGTAGGGAAGGCTTTCCAAAGCCCTCAAGAATTGGTCATGTTCACGGGATTAGATTCTAATGTAGGACTTTATGGTTGGTGCCTTTACACCACCATAGATTGTAGATCCAAAGGTAAATGTCAATCACATAATTAATTTTTTAAAGAAAGGAGGAATTGAAACCGCAGCTGCTGGAAGGTATTACATAGAACATGCACTTTTGATACTATATGCAACCTACAAGCAAAGAGTTGCACAAGCTCTGCGTCTCTAACTGTTGGATGCATCAGTATCATATGAGCTCATGTGGTGCTTAGGAAAGGATGGCAATAGTCTCTGATTATTATGTACATGCTGCTCACTATGCTGACATCAACTGTGAGGAGTACCTAGTATGTGATCACTTAGCAAAGACTAAAATGTGCACTTATAATTGTTCAACAGCTAAAATCACTGCTCTTATTGGTAGAGAGGCCAGAAGTTAGGCACTTGGAATGGAAGTTCAGAACTAAACAAGCCCAACTGGTACAGCCATCTGATCCCTGAACCAAACAGTATACCAGGTACTGTTGTTACTTGGCATGTGGCTAATCAAAAAAGTAGTATTTATCTTTGTAATAATTATTCTTTTAATATCCATATTATTTTATGACCAGGGCAACAAAAAAGGAGATGCATACACAGAGCTCCACTCACCTGTATCCAAATAGCAGCTGAATTTGAAAAAGGTTCAAAATTTAATTTGATGAATTCAGGTGATCCGATGGTTGCAACTAAATTACAATTCGCAAGTCTCTAAAGAGACAGATTACCATAGTGTGACACCATCTCTAGTAAGTAAAGTTTGATTTAGTGGACTCTACTGCATAATCCCCACTGATGTAAAATCAAAAATGTTTGCAGAAAAGCTAGACTTACATACAAGTCTAGGTAATTTCACTTATAAGTAACGAATTCAACCCTTTTCAAGGGCAATTAGGAATTGCAATAAATGCTGGCCTTTCCAGAAATACTCACATCTCAAGTAGAAATAAAAGAATGAAAAGTATAATCAAAATCTTCAATTTCTATTTCAGCTCAAACTGAGAACTTTGAAATTGACCACTGCTTGCTGTATTGAACTAGCAAATAATATCTCAACCCACAAATAAACTCAAGAGTTTGCAGGTCTTATGTATTATCAAGTTTCAAGTTATGATTACTTATAACAGGGTGCTCAAGATATTTCAGTAACAACTGCATTTATATAGTAACTTTCAGTTCCAAAATGCTTTTCCGCAGCATCATCAACCATAAATTGACATCAAGCCAAAGGCGGATGTATTTGGATAGATGACTAAAAGCTTATTTTTAAAAAAGAAAGGATAAAAAGGAGTATCTTTGAAGAAAAAAGTAAAAGGAACAAAGATACAGAGAGAATTTCACATTCTACAGCTTAGCCTTCCAATGATGGGATGAAGGAAAAAGAGAAGGTAAGACATTAGAATTGAAGGGCACAGAGTATTTGGAAGGTTGTAATGCTGAAAGAGGTTCCAGAGATAGGGGGATCAGGATGGGAACTATAAATTTGATCTGTTTAGTGAACCAGCCAATAATGTATGCCAGTGTGCCCAAGGGTTTTAGGTAAAAGGAATTTGATGCAAACGATGACACTGGCAACTGAGTTTTGAGATGGGCTCATGTTGGGGAGTGTGGAAGAACTAGGAAGGAGAGCATTAGAATAGTCAAGTTTGAAATAACAAAATTATGGATTAAAGGCTTTAGCAGCAGATGGGCTGAGGGCGGGATTTGGCAATGTTATGGAGGTGGTCCTTGTGCTGGAAGTGATGATTTCAAGTCATTGTGTTTCTTCTTTGATCATCCAATCGTCATGGCATCTCTGCTAAATCAATAACCATTTTCCACTGTGCTAAAATTGCCACATGACACCAAATTTGAGTACACACAGCACATATCTCTTAGTCAGATTTGGTATGATCACATCAAATATTATGTAATGCGTTTTATTAAAACAACCCACTTCAGAATCAACCTGTGAAGTAGTACAACTACTTGATAAACCGACAAACTGTGTTTATATACTGTAACCTTCAATATTGTGTAAAAAATGATTTTTGTGTGAAATGCTGATACAGTTAATATCTATGTTCCCTTCCTTTTTCCATTACTCCATAAATCACCCCAGTACCTAGTCAGATCTAGCTCTGATTTCATCCCATTTTAAATTTCTCTCATCTCTGTGTTCTGTTCTTGCTTATTTCCTGAGAACCATCTCTTACACCCATGATCACACTTAATTATCCATCCCCAACCATCATGCGAGTTGACATAGTGGATGAGTGACATTCCTCAGACTCCATTCTCTCGCTTCCAAAAGCACTGTAATTACAAACAACCTCAATAAAACAATGTTTGATCAGTCTAACTACTAATCCATCTCCCTAAATGCCCTTGAACACAGCCGCTCAGTTTCACAATCATCCCTCTCAAACTCACTCCTGTCTGATTTCTACAGTTATCACTGGCCAAAGACAGCAATGATATCCACTGTGGCAGTGAGGTGTTATCACAACTGAGACATCTCAAACTTCTAGTGACGTTTGATTTTGTGGACCAAAGTCAGAATCCATCATTGCTCAGAGAAACTCAAAGGCTACCAAGCAGATCTCCAGCACTGGTTTCTCTTCGCACTTCCAAATTGTCATATTGAGTCTGAAGTGATTCATTCTCAAGATGTTCCTGCCTCTCATCCATTTACTGCCCCTCAGTATTACACAAAAGGTACGGAGTCCATTTCCAGGTACATGCTGATGATATCCAATGTTACTTTTCCACCAACTTTCTCAAACCATTAAACTGTTTCATGTTGTCAAATAGTCTGCGCAATATCAAGGAATTACAGTCTGTTCAACTTGCCAAAAAACTAAAGACATCATCATTGCTAATCACTTTAACACTGTTTTCTTACATGTTCAGTTTTACCGAACTGAGCTTCGAAACCATGTATTTTATCCTTTACCACACTGGCTCATTTTCTTCACTGCAGCATTACCTGCTTATGCAAATATCTCAGCCTCTCCATCATTGAAAGAGATATTTAGGATTTTTTGGAAGGGAGCAGCTACCATTTCGGGTATTACCCTTCTTCAAGGCCTTCATCCTGAAGAAGGGTAATACCTGAAACGTTGATTGCTTCTTTCCTCCATTTGCTGCCTGGCTTGCTGTGCTCCTACAGCCTCCTGTTTGTCTATCTTGGATTCCAGCATCTGCAGGTTTTGTGTCTCTAATTTAGGATTTTGTCACCTCTAGACTCAATTAGTCTAATTTTTTCTGTGATCATCTCTCATAGTCTACTCTGTAACATTGTTTTGATTCATTTGCGGATACGAGTATTGTCAGAAGTGCTTGAATTCAATACCTATCCCTAATGTCTGAGAAGGCGGCAGCGCGCTGTCTTGTTGAATGACTCAGCCATCTCACAGAACAGTTCAGAGCTAACTACAATGATGTAGAATGGACTTGCATATAAACCAGACTACATAAAAATGGCAGATTTCTTTCCCTAAAGATATTAGTAAATCAGTTCACAATATTGCAATGGCTTCATGTTCAATACAATTGACACTAGCTTTATATTATCCATTTTATTTAATTAACTGAATTCAATTCACTTATTTCCATGGTGAGGTTTGAACTAACTTCAGCAGATTACTACTCCAGAGTTTTGGATTAATTATCCAATAACAACCATATATGCTACCATATTTACGACTTTTCCAAATGCATTCACCATTAATCCATACTGTGCATCAGCCTGTCCAAAACTTAGTCCTGGCTGAAACACTTGGGTCAGATCCCAGTCTCCAGTGGACTTATGGCACACAAAAGCCCAACAAGAAACTTTTCAACGTCCATTTCCAGTAGCAATTATGATCTTGTAAATTGTGGAAATGCAAAAACTATTTCAATTTTCTACATAAGTGTACAATAACTATTTTAACTTACCAAAACTGCTAGTGGAAGTGGTATAAATCCCATTCTTCTGGAAACTGTATCACTATAATCTGTATATGCCTGTAAAGAAAATTGTTCATGGTTCACTATCAAATAGACCTTCAATGAAATAATAGTGAAAATGTAATGAAGTCAGCTAACTAGAGAGTTGGTGAAAATTGTTTAACAGGATGCGTCTAGAGTTGGGAGCAAATTGCCAAAATCGGGAACATGGGAAAGTAGAGTATTAATTTTTAACGTCTTAACAATAAATTTTTATGACACTGAAGGAATAGAGATAAATGTCCAAGTCTGAATGTAATTGATTCTTTCATGTAGAGACTACTTTGTTGAATCATACATTTGTACTCCCATTTCCACGGTATTTCCAAAATGCCCGTTCCTTTCTATTACATAAATTTCACAAACCCAAGTTATGTCACTTAGGTGAAAAGAATTTTGTCTCAACTTATTAATGGGGCCAAGTTCAAAGGAAGCTTTCTGAATTTTTTTAGTCACACTTGACAAACGCTGCTTTACAACAAACTTCCATTTAGAGGCTGAGGGGCTATGAAGTGTACCACTGGAGTGGGTGATTCCAGCAGACACCATGGGAAAATGACTGCAATGACCTCTAAATCAGTCTAACAGAGAAGAAGTGTTTCTTTGGACCCCACATGGTAAGTCTCCACCTCTGCTACACCTCAAAGTTTTGTAAAAATTTAACTGATTCTTCATCCTTGTATCCCATGTTTTTATAAAAGCTAAAAACGCCCATTGGCTTCTTTTATGGTCTGTTTGTATTTGCATTTTCAAAGTACGAGTACTTGGATTTCTTGATCCCAGAGTTTTCATAACTGTCAATATTTTCATTTTAGTTTCCATAACTACATCAAGATGTAATTGATGTAGGTAAACACTAAAATCTTGGATGAATTTTCAAAGGCAGTCAAACCATCTTAATCAAACCAAACTTTTATCTTGGTTAACTGAACAAAATTATTTTTATACTTGTTTATGAACTATTTGTAGATCTCAATTTTACCTCATTCGATTAATGGTTTGTAATGAACATTGGAAAATATATTATTGCCATTTCTAATTTCTTAACTGTTAGGCTGTAGAGGTTTGTGTACATTGCTTGGAACTAAATACAGGAATACAGCTGGAGTGTCATCTTCTAAAAATTATCACTGCTGACACAAACCAACTAAAAAAGGGGGGGGGTAGAAAAAAATTCAAATTTGCTCTGTCTCCAGTGTGGTTGTTCTTACATTTAACTCTTCCTAGCTGGAAATTAGCCAACAGAGGATCAGATTATATGTTTCACCATTTTTTTTTACATCAGCAAATAATATTGTACTTCTGTTGTGATTTTTATTATTTTTAAAACAGCTGATATGTAGGATTTCATATGAAATGAGCAAAACTGATTCTTGAAACACAATTTCCAGTATAAGTTGTTCCTTCAAATTTGCATTTTGGAGAAAATGGGAAGTATGAACTTGGATCAAACATTTTAAGAACATAACAGACAAGAAATTACATTCTTATACTTACATTTTTTTGGCGGCTACTGACCAAGTCAAACGCAAGACTGGCTCTATATTCACTGTATACCTATGTATAGGAAAAAGCAGAGCTACATTAGCAGGATGCCAACATGCATACTTAAAATCTGGCATTCTCTTAGTTTTTTTTAAGCAGATACTACGCCCTATACCATATTAAAAAGTGCTGTCTGAAAGTGGAGAGGCAACAGAGAACTGAAGGAAAGTTATACCAGACTTGAAAAGTTAACTGTTTTTCTCTCCACATAGGCTGCCAGATCTGCTGAGTTTCACCGTCATTCTACGTTTGTTGCCCCTCCTGGAGCCAGTCTGTTATTGCCGGAGCATCTCACTTTCACATGGTAATCTGCACCAGTAACTCCATACATTTACATACGTGCACAGTAACCCTGATTTAAAATTAAGTTTCTTTCTCCCTTAATCCAACTTCACCTAGTAACTTGTGATTCTCTAAGCTAATACCAGTTGCATCTCTATGCATTTTGTAAATCCTGATATTCTCAATTGGGCCAAATGGATCACCACCTCTGGCTGTTCAGCAACCCTGCTGAAGAACGTTCTGCAACCACTCTATTACATACTTGACTCTGACATCAGAGAGGTAACATAACATCCTGGAGTCACATCTATGGTCACCAAATGGGCTAGATGAGGTGAAAGGGGATGGCAAAAGGAGGGAGAGGTATTGTTTCAGGACACATCGGGGAGTTGGCCCAGGTAGAGGAATCAGCAAATCAGTTTAATAGTTATCCAGGTTTTTAATCCTCAAGCTTAATCTTGATCTAGGAAAAGTTAATGCTAGTCAGAGTCCTCCAAATTTTCTGACTTTAATAGACTCATTTGGCGGGTTCCAGATGCGCGGCAAGCATGCATTGAAAAATTCAACTTCCAGGACAATTCCCTCAGAGTCAGCTGCAATTAGCATTGCACACAGTCCCGGCACCCAGCTCCAGTCTATGCTGCTTCAACAACTCTTTGGCCTTCAAAATATCTGGGCCAATACGTTAGTATTAAAATGCTTTCGAACATTGAAAGGATTCAAACAATGATATAATTGCAAATTCTATTATTTACTATAATAATTGCCTACATACTCACATCAGCTGTAATGTCATTAAACTTTGTAATAAAAGCATGTTTAACTACATCCACGGCTATTTCGGATGCTATTACCATGCAAACATCTGGAAACAACACCCAGAGATGATCTGAAAGTAAGAAAAAACATCTGAGAGTTACTGAAATAATTCCCTAACTTCAACATAATTAAAATAGTATTTATATATTTACAGTTAATTGAAACAATCTCCTACCAAGTTTTGTCTACTCAAAAATACTCAGTTACTTTTGAGGATATTTTAGGCTACAGGAGTTCCTGTGAGTTGCTTCTCTTATCTGTCCATCTCTCAATGTTTCACCTTCATTCTTAATTCTAGGGAGTTAGAATAACAAAAGATCTGTCTATCTTCAAAACTAAATAAATTACATTCTCCGATTGGTTATTGATAAATCCTCGAATGCATTGTAGCTCTCAACAGTATCAATTACTTTCAAAACATATGCAGTCACAGGAAGGTTGTGACAACTTCCAAGCAGTGTGCAGCTCTCTTTACCACTGCATAAAAACACTTCAGCATAATTGCCTAGAGCTTCAAGTAAAATTATCTAAACATCTTCACAATTGAATAAAACTGACATATCTCTGGTGAGTCATTCCATAATTGGTGAATTTAACAAACTTCTGCATAGGCAAGGAAACAAAAATAAGGGAGAAAATAAAGCATTCCTTTAAAAGACATTCCTACAGTGCACAGAGTGATTACATGTTGAATGCACTTCACTGGTTGTAAAGGATTTGGGGATCTCCCGAAAAATCTTTAGAAAAAGTCAATCATGTTTTTCTTTTAGTTTTCAACTGTAAATAAAGTGGTGTTACTGTGTAATATGGGCTCAATTCATGCAAGTAAAAGTTGTTTTCCAAGTTAAGCACAGCAAATAAAATCCAACTTTTCTCTGGTCCAGCCAAACAGTTACTGCGGAAACCATTAAATCATGTGGTCTGCTCCAAACCCATGGTGTCAGCAGTTAAGATTCCAGAAAGTTTAAAAAGTCTGCTCTGAGTTTGTGAAGAAATAATTTTCAAAAATTAAATATCCAATTACTCCAAGGACAGCAGGCAGTTGAGGTATATAAACAGAGATGATACACTGCACTAAAAGTTTAAGACATGAGGGACTCAACCACAAGATTTCCAAAATGGCAGGAGATCCAATAAGATTCTTTCATTCTCTGTGAACATTGGGATAACATCAACAGTTGTCTTTAAAAAAAAAATAGAACAAACTTATGGCTCAGGTTTGAAACCTATCTTGAGGATTCCTGATGCACTAAAAGAATATTTATAAAATAAATCTAAACAAGTGTTAAAAGGAAAGCTAAGTGAATTGAGAATGCACTGTGTGGCAATCTCATGGAGAAGGATAATTGCCTATCCCATCCCCAAGAGCTCACAGGAAAGAGGCCTTACTGTTCTAATCAGTTTGGAAACTGTCAACTTACACATCATCACAATGATATAAAGCAACAGTTTGAATTTCATTGTCAGATGAAAACAAAATTATAATAATAATTAGCTAAAGTTCAATTGGCAGCATTCTCTCCTTGAATCAGAAGGTTGAGGGCTCAAGTCACATTTGAAAAGTTAAACCTGATGCTCCAGTGTTACTTCCATTGGCACTGTTACAAGTGCCATCTTTCAGATGAGATGTTAAACCGTCTTTCTCCAACTTTCCTATCAGCTGGTTATAAATGAATTTGCAGCACAGTCTTGAAGAGGGACAGCGAACTTACCGATGGTGGCCTGGCCAAAATTAATTCCTCAATAAATATTACGAACAAAATATCTGGTCAATATTATACTGATGCTTGTGGGAGCTAAATCTGCGCAAAGTGACAGCCTCATTTTCTAAACTATAACAGTGACTATTCTTCTGAAGTACTTCATTGGCTGTAAAGCACTGCAGGACCAGCTGTGATTGTGAAAGACACTACGTAAATACGAGTCTTGCTTTCTTGTTCATATCATTTCAACTATTAATTCATGTTTCAGTTTATCTTCTACCCATAATCAATACAAATGTGGTTTAGTCTAACTTGGCAATTCTGGATAAGCTACTATTTTATTGTTCAATAAGTGAAATAAATCTGCTCAAAGGGAATTAATTTTAGACCCAAACCATGCAAGGTACACTAAGATTAGATATAGTTACATACTACATGAAGTGCTAAAACAACAAAACTTAATGAACTACAGAAATAAATTACAAGTGCATATTAAGATAATTGTAATAAATCTTGGATAAAAAGAAAAATGGAGACAAGTGTAACAATTTGAATTAAGAGGGTGAATTTCTGTAGTGACTCCCCTGTTCATTTTCAGAAGCTTTAACAGAAGGGCTGAAGAAAAGAAAAGTCTTGGTTTCTGCAGCTCCTCAGCAGTCACTACAGTGGATGAGGTGAACTCCTACAGGACCTAATCCCTAGCTCCTGAATTTCTCTCACAATATGTGTGGGGATAAATTTGCACTATTCAACTTCAATTTAGTCTCTATTCAAGCAAGCCAAAATGCTATTCAAAATTGATTCATTTTGGGGGAAAAATACTGAAAATAAATTAAGCAATTCAAATCACAATTAAACTAGAGCTGAATATTATTAGATTGAAGCACATATTATTCTGCAAACGTATCTGAGCAAACCGAAGCGAACTGCAAGAAAATTATACCTGGGTTCCATGAAAATTGTTCCATATTCCTCAAACAAACAATCAGCAGAAGGACATAGTTGTTAAACCTCTCTCTGATATCTGCAAAAGATTTTTTCTTACATTAAATGATAAGACTACTTTTGCTCTAAAAATGATTCTGTATTATCATAATTTGCATGATACGAATAATTGTATCTTTTTATCACGAGGTTCCAAGCGCTCTCGCAATTTCTTTTTATAGCAAATAACGATTCATTGCATCTCGAATATAAAATCACAGACTACAGAAATTTTTTTTAAAAAAAATCGGTAGACACTTTGGACAAATTATCCCATACATTACGACCATTTTATTTCCCACTATACCAATGCCTTTAAAACTCCAAATGGCTGATTTGGTTTGAAGCACTACAAGACCAAACTGTACTATTTAATAAATGCTAGTCTTAGAAGTACATGAAAGTCTCTTCCAAAAATCAAGCCACATACAACAAATAGCATCAGAAATTTGAGAGTATCGGGTACTTATTAAGTCCACTGCATGCAACTAGAAAGTTATACACCCACAATAGCATTTCTGATGGAGCTTAAAACGCGTTGGTAATTAAGAGGACTGAAAACTGAAGAAGGGTCCAGACCCGAAACGTCAGCTTTCCTACTCCTCTGACGCTGCTTGGCCTGATGCGTTCATCCAGCTCTACACCTTGTTATCTCAGATTCTCCAGCATCGGCAGTTCCTACTATCTCTAATTCTCCAAATGATGTTTGCACACTACTGTGAGAACTAGCAATACCCTAATTTCAACTGTATGTTGCTTGCCCTTCACAGCATTTCCTTAGCAGAACCATTTGTTCTTCTTAATTGCTTCTTGGAGATATCAACCTTCTTCCCTTGGCACAACTCAACCAGACCTTGATTCATACTAAGCTATGACTAAACTGTTGTGACTTCGGCAGTATACCCATCACCCAATATCAACTCAATATCACCTTCCCTACCAATCTTCAATCAGTACACATATTTCATATCCCTTCCCTTTCCTCTACCACCATTCCTCAGTCCAAGATATCTTCCCTTCCCATCACTTGACCATAACCATTCCTTCACCCAATCTTACCCAAACTCAATTTCAAGTGGCCATAAACTCAACATCATCTTTACTCCATTAGCCTAATCTGCAAGCCCAGTTTTCTTTCCCCTCAAAATACTTTCAGATGAGCAATTTAATTTTAATTTATTCAGGGATTTCCCATTTATAACAGAGATTAGGAAAAAGATTTTCTCTCAGAGGGTGGAGAGGGTTGCACACTCTTCCTGGAAAGACGGTAGAAGCAGACCCTTTGAATAGTTTTACAGTAGAGGTAGAGAGATTCTAGATTATCAAGGTGTTGACAGGTTAGATGTACGTGGGTATGTTGATTAATTGTAACCTCAAATCTATCAGATCAGCTATGATCCTATCCAATGGCAGAGCAAATTTACATTTCAGGTGCAGGTATAGAGTATGCTAATACGATTGCAACGAGCCCTTTATCGGTATAGGCATTCTGTTGCTAAGGATAGAGATTTGGTTGAGAGTAGAGATAATGGGCAGCTACTCAGAAAGGTAACTGCACCTCCTCCACAATAGCAGTCAACACTGGAGCCCACCCAAAGATGCGTCCTCAGCCCCCTACTGTACTCTCTTTACACCTATGATTGGAGTTGCCAAATTCCAAACGAACACCATCTACAAGTTCGCTGATGACACCACCATAGTTGGACCAATATCGAACAACAACGAGTCAAACTACAGCAGAGAGATAGAGGGCTTGGTGACGTAGTGCAATGAAAACATTCTGTCTCTCACCTTCAGCAAAACTGAAGAACTGATCATCGACTTTAGGAAAAGGAGAACACGCCCCATTTACATCAATGGAACTGAGGTCGAGAGTGTGAACAGCATCAAGTTCCTCAGAGTGACAACCTGAAATGTGACAGTCAAGAAGGCACAACAATGCTGCTTCTTCCTCAGGCAGCTCAGGAAATTTGGCATGTCCATAAGGACCCTCACCAAGTTCTACAGATGCACCATTGAAAACATACTATCCGCGTGAATAACAGCCTGGTATGGCAACTGCTCTGTTCAGGACTGTAAGAAAACTACAGAAGGTGGTGTACACAGCCCAGACCACCAGACCATCACAGAAGCCAACATTCCATCAATGGACTCCATTTACATGCCTTGCTGGTGCGGAAAGGCTGCCAACATCAAAGACCAATCGCATCCCAGTAACAGCAACTTCTCACCTGACTCTTGTCTAACTACACACAAAAATAACTAATTCTGAATCACCAGTCAGGAAGATGTACTGTCAAAAAGTTTAAAAAAACCAAAATGAGTCAAACTGTTAACACTGCATATTTACAACATAGAACAAGAACATCATATAAAAACATTTTTCCTGAATAACTGAAATCTAGTATCTGTTAGCTGAGCCAATAATCTGATAAAATTGACCTACTGAAGTTTTTATATGAATACCTGAGTCTTTTCAAAGCCTGAAATTGATAGTTTGCCTGGATAATGGGCTCCTTGAGTTTTGGAAACACAGTCAACAAACTAGAATCAGGCACAATATTGCAGGTGTATTTGGTTAAACAAAATGACATGATATTTATTTCTGTCTTTAAATAATATTTAGTAGTTTTCAGAATTAAAGTTAAATCTTATATTGTGATAAGAACAGATTGTTAATTGGAAATGACTAACAAATAAGTATGACACAGAGATGCAACCTTATACACGGGGGGATGGGGGTTGGTGGTAGAATATGGTGAAAGACATGTAGAGATGCTTCTTAAAAAAAAGAACTGAAATCCATTTTAAGAAAATCTTGTAATTTAATAATAACTAATGACATCTATATTAAAAAAGTATGTGACATTCAATTGGTTTGAACAAGCATTATTCACATAATCCTGTTTATTTCCTTTTTACTTTACTCCTTGCTTCAGCATGAGAATTTCTTTTAAAAATTAGTGACAATTTTAAAAAACTTAATTTGATCATATGCATCAGGAGATTGAGTTTCCAGCTGTTTCTTCTGGTCATACCAGCACAACTTACAGTGAGTGAATCAGTGTAAAGGTTCAGGAAAGTTTAAATGAAAGCAAGCTATGCTCAAAACCATCCACACTCGTGTTTTCTATCAGCTTTTCCATTGTATCTTGAACCAATTTGCCAGAAACAGTCCTTCACTAGAAGATCATCTACCGCCCCAAGTGAAAACTCGAAGAGTCTACCTACAATATTGATTTACGAAGGCACTTCCAATTGTGTTCGTTTCTCAGGAGTACAGGCATTAGTATACATGTTTTAAGTGTTTGTATGTAAAAATATAGTTAATTTACAAAGAAAATAACAAGTAGATACTAATTTGTTTTTAGAAATTCCTTCACAGGATGTAGGCTTTGCTGGCAAGGCCAGCATTTATTGTCCACGCCTAATTTCCCACTTAAGAGTCAAACACATTGCTGTGGGTTTGAAGTCACATTTAGACCAGACCAGGTATGGATGGCAAAGCCCCTTCCTTAATGAACCAAATGGATCATTTCAACAATTGACAACAGTTACACTGTCACCAACAGGCTAGTTTCTTTTATTCCAGATTTTACTGAACTAAAATTTCACCATGTGCTTTGTGGAGTCACTAGGTCAGTAATATTATCACCACACCATCACCTCCCAAGTATGAAAATATCAAATAGTTCAGTATAGTCTTTAAGTAGTTTTCAGCAATTTTAAATCAGGTTACTCACAGGTGAAAGACTGTACACTTAGTAATGAAAATGCTTCTTCACAAAACTGCAAAGGGTTACTATTCTTACACTCTAAAATATATTTTAATGGAAAGGGTAAAACAAAAAAGAAACAATTATGTTTATTAGGCTGCCCAACCGCGCTGGTGCATTCAGGATTTTAAATTTGTGATTATGTAAATTGTTCTTCACATCAACTAGAAGTTTTAACTAACAGCTTTATCTCTAGTGCATTTTGGCTACCATTTCCCCATTGTCCCCAAAACAAAAACTAGAACTTGTCATCGTATCGCACTTTTAACATGCAAGATGACAAGAACAAAATTTTATCCCCTAATTTGAATTAAACATGAAATATAGTCCCAAGTTTATGAAATAAATGGTACAACTGAGCTAAGTATTATCTTACACAACTGTACATACCACTGTTGGACATCTGAAACAGATTGTTCTTCTCAAACTTCTTGAAAACACTTCCTTTTATTTCTACAAACTATTTAAGAAAAACATTTAAAATCAATTTTGACATTAAATAGCATGATACATCCTCAACAACACAAATTAACTTCTCTTTAAAAATGAGAATACAATTTGTGGAACAATTTTGCCTTTCAAACTTTGTATGACTGCTAGTCAGTGATAATCAAAATTTCTGATTTTGTAAATTGGTGACATAATTGCTGAAAAGCTGCCACTTGCTATGCAGTCAGAAGTTAGATCTTAGCTAGGACTGTATTTGAAGCAAAACATAATTTGTCAGGCTTCTCATTTGTTGGAATGTTCAGACTGCACTAACATTTTGATTTCAAAAATATGTGGGAGGAACAGTGGGCAGGGGAAGGATACAAGGAGAGAAGTGGCTGGAAGATTGGGCAGAGGGAAGCGCGTAGGACCTGGGGTGGAAAGGCGGCGGCTGTGGGGGAGGGTGGGGAGGTGGTATTTTGCCCTTATTACATTTTTAAAAAAGGTGCTCAAAATTATGAATAATTTTAAGACACTCAGTAAGGACAACCAGTTTCCAGTGGCAGAAGAATCAACGGCGATGACAGCCTAGTGGTAATATCGCTGGATTGTTAATCCAGACACCTAGTTAATGTTCTGGGGACTTGGGTTCAAATCCCACCATGGTTAAATAGCAGAATGTGAATTCACTAAAAATCTGGAATTAAGAGTCTAATGATAACTACAAATTGGTCAATGGTCAGAAAAATATTTCTGGTCCACTAATATCCTTTAGGGAAGGAAACTGCCAGTTTTTACCTGATCTGGCCTATATGTGACTCCAGACCTACAGCAATGTGACTGATTCTTAACTGCCCTCTGGGTTCTTAGAGAAGAGCAATAAATGTTGGCCTAGCCAGTGACACCCTCATCCCATGAACAGATTTTAAAAAAGGTTGTCAGAGATGTCAGATTTAAGGTGAATAGCAAAAGAATCAGTGGTGACATCAGGAAGCATTTATCATTCCTACACAACGAATTGCTAAGATCCTGTAAGCACTGCATACAAAAGGTTGCAATAGTAATATGCAAATATGAGCTGGATAAATACTTGAAGGACAAATACTACAGGTTTGAGAGGACAGGTCAAGTCAATGGAAGAGCTATCCAGTTAATGTCAAAGAGCTGGCACTAGTACAATGAAGTGAATGGCCACCTTCTGTTTTGTGTCAATCTAAGATTGAAAAATATTGGACTTTGAGGTGAATTTTGAAATATATGGATTTCAGCTATCCTTAAAATTTACAAGTGCAAAGACAAATTTTTTAAAAATCTGAAAAATCAGATTAAGTACTACACTGCCATCAAACCTGAAGGAATCCATGTTTGAAATATTTTGGTCACAAAAATACTCACATTGTTTGACATCATGATGGTAAGTAATGACTTGTTGTGGGAATTGAAAGCAACATTCAAAGTTGTTGCTTGTACCATGACCAGAATTGTATGAAGGACTGTAATAAAATTGTTAAGGTTGCAGCAAAAAAAAAAAGGGAAACAGAAGCACAAAATTTTACAGTACAGAACCATCACCCGGACCATTGTCTATGCCAGAAATTTAACTATTAAAACTGCTTATTGCTCTTGTAAATACCTATTATTGTTAATATTACAATATACAAAATAAACTTGCTACCATGTTAAATATATACATTTTTTAAAAATCAGCACATAGGCACCTTTTAGTATCACCAACTGGAGATTATCAACAGGGTTGGGCGTTTTTAATGCATCATTTAGCCATTATTTGCTGTAGTAGGATAGATACGACTTTCTTTTGTTGAATTATGTTATTTCGCATGAGTTACTGGAAGTATAAGCTGACAATGTTGCAATAAAGGAAAAATGGCACTTGGGATCCAACTGAGCAAGTAAATCTCCTGCGTAATTCTTTAACCAATTTGATTGAAAGATCATGAAGTTAACAATGTAAAGATGGAGAATAAATTGCAAATCAGAAAATTAGTGTGGATAAATTCAAGCTAAAAACAGGTGCAGAAAGAGAAACAAGAGAGAGAGAAAGATGTGACTTAGATAAAAAGGAACAGGAAACAAAATTAAACGTTGAAGCCAAGGAAATATAGACCAGTGAGCCCGACATTGGTGCTGGGCAAGTTGTTGGATGGAATCCTGAAGGACAGGATTTACATGTGTTTGGAAAGGCAAGGACCGATTAGGGATGGTCAACATGGCTTTGTGCGTGGGAAACCGTGTCTCGCTAACTTGGAGTTTTTGAAGAAGTAACGAAAAGGATGAACGAGGGCAGTGGACGTGATCTACACAGACTTCAGTAATGACTTCAACAAGGTTGCTCGTGGTAGACTGGTTAAATCACATGGAATACAGGGAGAACTAGCCATTTGGATGTAGCACTGGCTCGAAGGTAGAAGACAGAGGGTGGTGTTGGAGGGGTGCTTTTCAGAATGCAGGCGTGTGACCAGCAGTGAGCCACAAGGATCAGCGCTGGGTCCACTGCTTTTCATCTTTTTATATAAGTGATTTGGGTGTGAACATAGGAGGCATGGTTTGTAAGTTTGTAGATGATATCAAAATAGGAGGTAGCGGACAGCGAAGAAGACTATCTCAAGGTACAATGGGATCTTGAGGAGATGGGCCAATGGGCCAAGAAGTGGTAAATGGAGTTTAAATTAGATAAATGTGAGGAGCTGCATTTTGGAAAGGCAAATCAGGGCAAGACTTATGCACTTAATGGTAAGGTCCTGGGGAGTGCTGCTGAACAAAGAGACCTTGAAGTGCAAGTTCATAGTTCCTTGAAAGTGGAGCCCAGGCAGATAGGATAGTGAAGGCAGCGTTTGGTATGCTTGCCTTTACTGGTCAGTGCATTGGAGGTTAGGATTTGGGAGGTCACATTGCAGCTGTACAGGACATTGGTTCCGCTACTTTTGGAGTATTGTGTGCAATTCTGGTCTTCCTGCTATAAGAAGGTTGTTATGAAACTAGAAAGAGTTCAGAAAAGATTTGCAAGGATGTTGCCAGGGTTGGAGGGTTTGAACTATATGGAAAGGCTGAATAGACCAGGACTATGTTCCCCGGAGCGTCAGAGGCTGAGGGGCGACCTCACAGAGGTTTATAAAATCATGAGGAGCACGGATAGGGTAAATAAAGGTTTTTTCCCCAGGTTTGGGGGCGGGGCGGGGGGGGGGTCCTAAACTAGAGGGCATAGGTTTAAGGTGAGAGAAAAAAAGAGATTTAAAAGGGATCTAAGGGGCAATTTTTTCACACAGAGAGCGGTGCACATATGGAATGAGCTGCCAGAAGAAG